TGGATGCAGGACTCAGATCCTGGGGATGCTCCCTGTCTGGATGCAGGACTCAGCTTCCGTGAGGGCCTGTGTGCCAACTTCAGATGGGCCGGCAGAACCACCAGGCAGCGACCAAGTTCAGGGCCTGACAGTCGTGTGGGTTTGCCCAACAGCGATGCTGGGACTAAAAGGGCCTCACTGCTCACCACCCAGTGAGAACTGGAGTCACTACCTTGTTTGGGCCCCAGTGGCTCAGCCAAGTTCTCTGCAGGCTGCCCAGGCAGCTGGTGTGCATCAATGTGGCTGGCAGTACCCATGGAGAAAAGCTTGCAGTACTTCCATACCCGTTGGTATTTACTGTTGCCTTGAACCTTCCAAGTGTCCCCAGCTGCCTGGACTCTCCCGCGGTGCCCCAGACCTCCCCAACAGCTGAAGGGCCGACACCTGGCACAGCTGGGTGTCCCTGCTCCGGTTCTGGAGAGCCCATGTTCTCATGGTCTCTGCTGTGTCCAGGGCAGAGGGAGGGAGCCCTCAGCCCCTCCTGTGGTCCTACCTCCCTGTGGGACCAGCCCTTTCGCTTTCCTCCCAGCCCCTCTCAGGACCACATCCCTGTACTGTTTTTACCTCGGAGAATTTCCGGTTTTCAGGTTGAAAGAGGTTCTGAAGTTGTTCTCTCCCTTTGCCCAGTAACTGTGTTCCTAGATGGTGACTGAATAGGACTTCATGTTGCTTTAATCCTGTTGAATATATAAAGGGAGCTGGCTATTTTAGGAAATTCAATGAAGAATCCTTTGATAAAGTAAAACATGACCATCCTCATGTATCCAGGGTCAGGAAACAGTCTGCAGTTCCCTTTAGGAGATGTTAGCTGCACACCTGTTGTGGGCTGGCAAGGTGGGGAACAGAACTCTGCCCTTAAGTGTCCTTCTTGCCCATTCCTTGCTTAGCCTCATTCCTTGGTTCAGAGTTGCTTTCTGGGTCTGTCTCTTAAACAAGCCCCCATCGGGGGCTTACACAGCCTGCGGGGCATGTAAGTATAAAGATAGCCACATGTTCAATGAGGATGCTGCAGAGCTGAGGATGTAGGCAGGAGGAACGAACAAAGCAAGACTAGTAACCACCCTTGACAGCACTTCAGAGGGTGAGGCAGGATTGATCAGGGGACAAGCGGATGAGTGGTGTGGCAGAATCCCTTAGGGTCCCCGCCTGGGAGGAACGCCAGGGGAAAGGGGGCCCTCGCGGGGGCACGCTGACTGCCGCTCTTCCTCCCTGCAGCCTGATGTTCACCAAGGTGAAGCTGGAGCAGGTACTGAAAGGCCCAGAGGAAGCCCTCGTGACCTGCAGACAAATGCTGCGGCTCTGGCAGACCCTGTACAGCTTCTCCCAGCTGGGGTGAGTGGCCGTCATCATCCCTGGGGTTGCCAGAGGGTGGAGGGCAGCAGTGACAGCTTGGTGGCCATGAAGCCTGGTGGGCTGGGGGATGGTGAGGATGTTTGAATGAGGGTGTGGCACTTACTGCTCCTGCGGCCTGGTCTCATTTTGACCTTTTGACAATCCTCTGTGAAGGACATAAAGAACCTCTTTAGGAAACTGAAGTTCAGAAGGCTAAGAAGGAAGAGAAATCATTACTGAGCATCTGGACCAGGTGCTGGGCTTGCTGCTTGTATCTTATATGCTATCAGATTGTATTCTCACCCCAGGGGGGAAACTGAGACTCAGGGACCCTGTAATTTGCCAGAGCCACTTGCCTGGTAAATGGTAATGCTGGGGCTTGAACCTGGCTCTCATGCAGCCTGTCACTTCTTTCCTGGTTCCATTTGGAAGCTAGAAGAGGAGGAGGAAACGGAGTTCCTGAAGGGCCCCCACTCACCTGTCTCCACGCATCTGATCTCCTGCTGCAGTCCCCAGCCTGGGCTCCAGATTCTTCCTGGGCAGAGTAGGGCACTCTTGTCCAGGCTGAAGCTGCAGAAAGTCTTTGCTCCATCCCACTGGACACCGGGACTCAGCCTGAGCAGCCCAAACCGGGAAAGGGCCTTGCGTGGGGTGGGTGCACTGTCTCTTCCTGGTTCTCTGGTCCCCACCCCCACCCCTTCTCTGGAATTGCTGGCTGTGTCATCTCCCCAGGGCCTCAAGCTCCCCCCGCCCCTCTCTGGTGGATGTTTTTGAATTCTCGCAGGGACTCTGGAGCCCAGAGGCTTTCACAATCCCCAGAGGCATGGCTCTAATGTTGTAAAATCTACAGAGGAGGCCCAAGGGTATTCTGATAGAGTAAAAACCCTTGGGTAGGATAGGGTCAGCCCTGTCTTTGCAGACCTTTGGGCCTGGGAGATTCCAGGGCAGAGCAGGACCAGTGGATGGAAGCTACCAGAAGGCGGCTCTGAGATGAGGGACTTTCAGAAAGGGAATAGGGAGCCACCTGGCAGCTGGGTGATGTGAGGGTGAGGGCCAGACCCTGGTGTAAGAGGTACCTGCATTCAGATGCCCCTCGCTCTGCTGATCACTGGCTGTGGCCGCTCCAGCAGGTGCACAACCTGGCTCCCCTCATGGAGAGGAGCTGTCCCCAGAGCTGGCAGGGACCGTCCCTGGGCTGGATGGCTGACTGCCTGCCCATCCAGGTAGTCTTGGCGGGGCCCCTATGAGCTGCAGCCTCGTCTCCTGGCCCTGGCCTGTGCCTTCCCTCCTGGCAGCAGAAGTGTGGGGCTGCCCAGTGCTATGACAGGGGCCAGGGCAGTGGGGTTTGCCTTGGGGTCATTTCAAGTCACCACCCATACACTCATTTCTGGTCTGAGGGCCTGGTGGAGCTCCTCACAATGGGAATCCCCTAGGCACCTCTCCTGGGGAACCTCCCGGAAGCTCCCCCACCCAGGGTGGGGCAGGGCTCAGCCTGGCTGGCTACCTGAAGGCAAATTGTTGGGACCAGAGGGCTGGATCCTGGCTTTCCTGAGAATAGGGAGCATTCTTTCTGAACCTGGAGCCGTAAAGCAGAAACTAGGGCTTGTAAAATCTAGTTTGGGGCAGCCAAGGAACAAGGCCAGAATCCACAGCCTGAATGTCTGGCCTACCTGCCCCACCCAGCAGCCCCACCCACCCTGTGCTCCCTGGCACCCTGCTTCCTCTGCTGTGCCTGGGCCAGCCCACACTGCCCTTCAAGCCCTGCTCAAGCTGCCGCTCCTTCATGGGGCTTCCAGTCACCCAGCCTCTGATGCTTCAGCTGACCCTCTTGATCTAGGTCTTTGCTGATTGCTCAGCTTGGGCTGTCTCTTCTCCCTGTCCGGCTGTCAGGTTCTTCAGGGTAGGAGCAATGCTGTCTGTTGGCCTGGAACCAAGAGACAAGAGTGACAAGAGATCCCCAAGATGGGCTCTTTCTGGAGCCCTAGGAGAGGCCCTTTAGGGGCTGGGAGGGCAGGTGGGACAAGAAGCTCTATCTGTGGATCTGCTCCAAGCCAGCATGCGCTGGGCACCTGCCCACATCGTCTCGTGTACTCCCCACAGTGATCTCCCTCGTGAGATCGACATTCTCCTGCTCACGTACTTCACACAATAGCCATGCTCGTTTCAAGATGAGAAAACTAACACCTAGAAACTAGGGTCACACAGCTAAGAAGGGGTGGCCCCGTGGTTTTAACCCAGTGTCTCTGGCTCTTTGGCACCACACCGGGTTGGCTTCCAGGCCTGGGGAAGAGCACGGGAGAGGAAAGGAACCACCCTGACCCACTGTGTTTTTGTGGCCGATTTCCTCTAATGCCCACAGAGATGGCTGTGCATCCACAGGCCCAAGTTCAGGCCAGTGTGAGCCTGAGTTAGGATGGCAAGGGTACCCCCAGGCCTTGGCATTATTTGTGGGACCATTGTCTTGGCACCCCTCTGAAGGGAAGAAGCCTCTGGCCCCACACTGGGCCTGCCTTCTCTCCTGCCCTTTCCACCTCCGTCCTCCTCTAAGCTTCCCCAGTCAGCAGGTTCAAGGGCTGTGGGCATCCTGGGCAGTGGGCAGGGGTGGCTGGGAGCTGCGTGAACCCCAGGATGTGCACAGAGGCTGTGCTGCCTTTCTGAGCGGGTGGCTCCCTCCACCTCCCACTCTGAGAAAAGAGGAACCTCCCAGCAGTGTGGGAGCTGCAGGGAACTGGAGGGTGGGGGAGAGATAGAATCACCATGCTTCTTTATCTGCTACCCCAGGAGCCCCCTCTGGCTCCTCTGGGGCCACCCTGGTAGCCTGAGGTAGGGTGCCTGAGGAGTAGTGTGGCATCTGGACCTTCCTTCCCTGGGGCACAGACTGGGGGCACTCCTCGTGGCCTGTGAAGACCAAGCTTTCCTTGGAAGCCAGTCCACAGTGCCTGCTCTGTGCCTGGCACTCTGATGGACATTGTGAGGGCAACCAAAGGTAGAAGAGACCTCTCCCTGACCTGGGGAGCTTCTAGCATCACCCACTTCAGAGGAGGGAGTAGACGGAAAGGTAGAGCTTCTGATCCACAGCGTCTGTGGTGCTGGGATCCATGCTGATGGAGAGAGGGTAGGAGGAGGTGTGTGGGGCAGGGGAGTCACAGGAGGCTTTCTAGATGGATAAGGGGCACTCAGGCTGGGTTCTCAAGGATGGAGGGTTTGGGTGGACCAAGAAGAACAGCGAGAACATTCTTAGTAGCAGCAGCATGAGCAAGCATGTAGCTTTGGCAATGAAATGTGGCAGTGTTAGGGAACAGTGAGGACACTGATGGCCCCGCAGGCACACAGCCGGCAGCAGGTGTGTGGATATATGTGAGCAATGGGGAGTAACATGGCAGTTTAGCCACTGGGGTGAGCCAGATTCTAGAATCATAAGCCTGAGCTCTGAGCTGCCCCTGTCATTGTCTCCATCCTCCTAGTGGTCCTGGCTTTGGCTCTGTTCTCGGGCCTGGACTGTCAGCCCCAGAGCCTGTCTAGCGTGAGGTTCCCTTGTTCTGTCTCCCAGCCCCCCACCTCACCTGGCCCTCCCTTGCCTTCCAGAGGCCTGGAAAAGGATGGCAGCCTTGGTGAGGGTCTCACTCTGAAGAAGCAGAGTGGCATGCACCTGACTCTGCCAGACGCCCACGACGCAGACTCAGGTAAGAACATGCCCCGTGGGCAGCTGTCCACGTGGCCCACAGCTCACTCTCCCAGCCTGAGCATGAACGAACGGGGAGAGTGACATCTGCTCAGCTTGACCAAACCCACCCAGCTCCTTGCAGGCTGCTGCCCAAGGGCCTTGTGCTAAGAAGCTGCCTTCGGGCGTCTTTCAGGGCCCACCTTAGCTCTGAGGCTGGATGGCTGCCAGCCTGGGGGCAGAAAGTGGGCAAGGGAGGAACCCTCGCTCCTGGACAGGGGTGAAGAGAGAGGGGAGCTTGGGGTGGAAGGATGGGCTGTGGAACACAGACACCGTTTCCCCTTAGGCTAAAGCCTGAGGCCAGTGGCCACTGTTGTAGTGTCCTTAGTGGGTCAGTCAAGTGGAAAGGAATGAGCCGAGCTTGTATTTACAGCTCTAAGCCCAGAGCTGACTGATTCGACGAGGACCTGATTAAAGCAGAATCCCTTCCTCAGAGACACAAGAAGAATTAGTCACGGGAATGAAAGTGTGAGGGAGTTGTATTTAGTGGCATTGCTCACTTTTTCCACTTCTGTGGACATGAACCAAGCTGCGCCTTCATTGTCAAGTGATGGAGTTGGTCTCCGATGCCAAGCCCGGCTCCTAACTGGAGAGGTGCGTGTGAGGAGTGCTGGGCCGAACGTGGAGCTGCCGACGCCCAGGAAGCCCTGGTGAAGCAGGGTGAAGCGCCCTTGCAACTAAGGAGGGAAGAACCGTGAACAAATTATTAGGGCTCCTTGTGTACTTGTCTTATAAACAGAAATCATCTGTGGTCTTCCCCGAGGTCTCCTAAGTTTATTGGAGCCTTTATTGCCTCTGAGAGAGAGAGAAAGTGCCGCATTTCACCTGCATGTGAATTGTAAATGTCACTGGCTTATGTATCCTGAACCCCCGTCACCCAGAACTGCCATGAAGAGGTTCCCCAGAGGGCACAGAGTCTGACCTGAGCTGCTACCCAAGGATCCTTCACGGCACAACCTCAAAGAGGACATTTCCATATAAGAAAGAATAATATACACTTAGGAAAACAAAGTAAAAGTAGCAAAAGGAAGAAAAGAAAAAACAGCCATAATTTCACCACCCGGACCTTAATAAATGGGCTTCCAGACTTGTTTCCCTGCCCATATTTCTTTTTTATGAAAATGTGATCATGCTCTTTTTCAGCCTGCTTTTTTTCACCTAAGTGTATAATGTGAACATCTTTCCACATCGATATTCATATTTGTGTGTTATTTTGATGACGGCATAGACGCGTATGATTATACCCTTACTGATTTTTCATCATTCCCTATTGTTGGACGTTTGGGTCGTTTCTGTTCTCGGTATTACAGGCAGTGGCAGAACCAGCACCTTTGCTGACATTTATGATCGTCTTCTTTAGTGATAGACCCCCAGAAGTGGGCTTGCTGCCTGATTGCCCCTCTAAAAGCTCCTCTCCCCAGCCGTGGGTGAGGGTATGAGGTGGGCCTTTCCTAGTAGGTCTGCGAGCTGTTTTGCAGCTGCCCGGCTGTGCCACCCTGCCCTCACTCGATGTGCCCCTTCTCTCCCCATGGGGCTGTGCAGTCACTGTTCCTGAGGCCTGCCACGTGTGGCCCTCCAGCTCTGCTGCTCAGCCCCCACCCTCTTGCTCCGCAGGCTCTCGGCGGGCATCATCCATCGCAGCCTCCCGGCTGGAGGAGGCCATGTCAGAGCTGACCATGCCCAGCTCAGTCCTGAAGCAGGGCCCCATGCAGCTGTGGACCACGCTGGAACAGATCTGGCTCCAGGCTGGTGAGTGGCCCCGGCCCCAGTGACACCCACTCTCAGAGCTGTGCCCTGTCCTGGAGAAGGGAGTGTGGGGATGTGGGGAGCCCTGACAAGGCTCACACAGGCTATGGTACTCATGGAAAGGTCTGGTGATCAAGAACCTGTAGCTCCAGTTCCAGTTGTTTCTTCTTTGCTTGGCCTGGGAAAAGTCACTTAATCTGTCTGGCTGTGGGTTTCCTTCTCCACCAAATGGGAATAGTCCCTGCCTGCCCACCTGGGAGAGGCTCCATGGCAGCCAGTACAAATGTGAGAGGATTTGAGGAAAGGCCATACAGATGGATAGTCTTCTTAGTCTCAAAAACAAGCCCCAACACTTCTTTTTGCCCACCTTCTCCTGAGTAAAACTAGTTCAGACTCAAACCCCAGAGAGCTCACGGACTAACTAGAAAAGAGGTGAGGTATGGCGGCCTCCAGGAAACTGAGGTCAGGTGGGAGAGTTCATGGAAAGCAGAGGACTAGTAACACTGAGGTTGCCATTCAGGTGACAATCCCTCTTGATAGTAATTGGCACCATTGCCACGTGGAGTTTGAGGGAGTTAGTGTTGGGGAGGCAGGCAGCTTCAGAGTCTCACAGAGCTCGGTTCTAATGCCAGCTCACTACTGCCCGTCCTGATCTAACACGAGTAAGGTGGGTAAAGCTGTTAGCGCAGTGTGGGTCGTATAGAAGGTGCTCGGTCAGTGGTGCTCGGCTCTGTCCTGTCCACTGTAATCGTGGTGGTGGTAATGGCAGCGTAGCTCCACCAATAGTGAATGTCCTCGATGCTCTGCTAAGGAGAACCAAGAAGTGACTCACTGGAGTGGTTGAAAATTTAATCTGACGGTGGTGTGAGAGGTGGATTAGAGTGAAAAGAGAGAGGGTATCAAGGCCGATGATGTGCCTGAATGAGATAAAATGGCGGCAGGAAAAGAAGAGAGAGGAAGGCGATAGAATGAATGGAATCCTAAAAATGCTCCAGGCCAGCATGCCCTGTGATGGAGAACTGCCCAGTGAAACTCCTCACCTTTTTCTGATGGCCCTCCTACCTGCCCCCTCTCTCCCAAGGGGATGGTGCCAGTAGCCCCCAAGGGGAGATGGAGAAGAGACCAAAAGTAGATACTCAGTTCCTGGGACATGTGAATTTTGCAAGTCAGAGTAGGAATGTGCTTAACTGGGAATCTAAGGTTTCCCGCTTCATGGATTTCACATATGGACACATTAGTATGCAGTATGCCCCTGCTCTCTCCACCTAGGTTCTGAATCTGGGGGAAAAAAATTGGACCAGGATTCACAGAAAGCCTAGACAGGGAAGCATTTTAATAATGCACACATTGCCCCAGTTAGCGTATCAGGGTCCCTTAGGATGCTAAGGATGTGAGGGGGGGCTGTACTCTGCAGCCAGCTGTTGCATCTTAAATAAGAAGAGGAATGTTGAAAAATCCAGAGGAATAATAAACTAGGCCTCCTCTTAGGGAAAGATTCCCCTGTCTTCTTCCAAGATATGGAGCCATAATGGCTCCCGAGGGCCTCCTGAGGCCCCAGCCCCGACATGTGCCTTGGGTAGAAAGCTACACCCACACTAGGGGCTTCACCAATTTCAAGGACTATGTCAGAAGCACAGGGATCAAATTCCGGACTTGTGAGCTGCCTGCTCTGGAGTTCCCAGAGCCTTTTGTTTTAATGATATGCCCTGTTTACTACCAACAGCAAAGGAAAACGTGTTCGCATTTCACAAGGTGCTTGCATTTCTCAGTTATGCCACTTTATGCTAGCGATGCTAATCTGTTCTGGTAACTCCAAGGAAGGTTAAAGGCCTTCCTGAAGCCTGTGATTAGACTTGAGGATAGCGATATAAACACACACCCTTCAATAATTTGCACATCAGCTTTCTTTGGAAATTATCCTAGGTATTCAGCTCACAGAGAACTCTGAGAACAGAATCTGAATGGTTTGAATATGCTGCCAGCTAAGGATTGGGCAGTGTGGCATTAGGAGACCGGTTTGGGTGTGTGTGACCAATCCAGAATAGCAGTGGCTTCTACAAGGTACACACTTCGATTTTCCCATGTAACAATTCAGAGATAACAGCCTTGACTGGGGTGACAGCTCTGGTCTCCTGGTCCAGGGACCCAGGTTCCTTCCATTTTATTGGCTCTGCTCTCCCAGGGGTGTCACTTTCGTCCCTGTGATCCAAGATGGCTGTCCACCACCTTCACAGTCCAAGGCATAACTAGGAAGAATGGGAGAGGGGAACACCCCCTCCCTATAAGAATATATCCTGGAATTTGCACACATCACTGCCCCTCACAATCCATTGGCCAGAACTTAGTCACATGACCACACCTACCTGCAAAGGACTCTGGGAAATGTCATGATTCTGGGTGTCCAATGCCCTATTAAAAATCAGGGGATCTGTCGTTATAGAAGAAAGGGGGAATAGACTGGTGGATAGCTGCCACAGCCAGAAAGGGAAGGGGGAAGTTGTCCTAGGTCTTTCATTCTGGTCATGGGAGGATTCTGGAGCAATCTCCACACCATGAGCCCTCTCCCCAACCCTGGCAACCATCATCACCAGCAAGCAAGTACTGAGTACCTAATTATTGAATGAAGGGCTGCTGGGAGCAGATCACCAAGGCAATAACTTCTCCCTCACCCCCGCCCCGCCACCTGACCCAGGCTAAGAGTATTGTCATCAGCACCCCCACCCACCCAGCCCACCTAATGATTCCACCAGCTGCAGCACATTTGCAGGAAAGGGAAATTTTCCCCCTTTATCATTTTGAAATGACCTAATCCCCCTGGTTTGGTCCAAGATAAATTGCATCCCAGTCTGTTTGGGCAGTAAGTTCCAACATTAACCCACTCTTAGGTTGGGAAATGTTGTATCCTTCCTCTCCCAACTCTTGTCCTCCTCCCCTCCCCTCCCCAAGCCTCCTTCCTTTCCAGTCTGGTGTGAGAGGCCTCACGCAGGGTTTCCGCTTGAGAGATGAGCTTCAGGGATTTTGCCTCTTTGGCAGCAGGTCTGTGTGAGAATGGGAGGGGTGTCAGGCCCCATAGATGCTCCAGGGTCCTGAGTGTTGAGAGGTGCTTTCCGGAAGAGAAGATGGCCCACCCTTCTCTTTCACTGCAGCTCGTGTCTCAGAGCTAACAGTGTGCTGGAGAGAGGATGTCAGGAGAGTTTCCCTGCCCTGGAGGTCCAGGGGTCCCAGGGGCTATGGGCTTTCGTGGCTCGGGGGCAATTGGCCTGAGTCTCGCCTCCCAAGTGGCAGACTGACACTGTCTCACCTGGTGCCCTGGCTGGTGTGGTGGGACTAGCGTGGGCAGCCAGAGCTATGTCTAAAGGTCGTATTTATGATAAAATCATAGTCAAGGGAGAAGCTGTCTCACCCGTGGTCCTACACGCTCCTTTCAGTCTTTCCCTCGTTGCTCCTCATTCCCTTCCTCATCTTCCTTCCCGCTTCCCCTTTTCCCCGCTCCCCACCCTTCTCCCTCCTGCTTTCTTCCCATGTCCTCTCTTCCCTTACTCTGGCTTTTTCTCCCTCCCTCCTCTCTGCTCAGCACCCCCTCCTCCCAGGGTCCTGAGTTAGTGAGGAGAGCGCTCCCTCCAGGACAAGTGGGAGTCCAGGCCCCGTAGCCTCCATCACCTTGTGGCCTGAGGCAAACTGGGCCCCTCTGAGGGCCTCAGACCAACCCTAAAATTCCCCTTAGACCTATGGATTCCCTGTATCTCTCCTGGTCTTTCTCCCTTCTGGCCCCCTGGTCTCTCTCATTCCTCTCTCACCCTCCCCCCAAGCCTTCCTTCTGCTTTATTCTGGGTGTCCATATGTCCGGAGAGTCTGCTCCACGAGGAGGATGCTGATTTCCTTTAGGGAGCAGTTTTGGTGACCACCCTGGGGTTCAAGGCCAGCTAAGGTGGATTCCTTTTAGGGCATAACCTTAACTTCTCTCCTGCCTTGGGGGTCCTGTGCCTTTTAGCCCAGTTGGCACCCCTCCTTTCTGAGGTCTCACTGAGGGTCTCTAGGAAGCACATCTCACGTGGGGAGGCCCCTAAAAGGCCTTAGGCGTGGCCCTGGGCCCTCCCTACCCCTGTTCCTCAGCTCAGGACCAGCTGGAAGGCAAGGCCCTGCCTGCAAATAGCCCATGAAGAGTGAGTCCATCCCCCAGCCTGGTGGGGGTGCTGGGCATTGGCAGGAATGGCAGGAAAACTGGAACCAGCTCTGGGTGCAGGGTCAGATCAGGATGCCTCAGAAAAAATAATAAAAGGGACTGTTGCAAAGCTCCAGGGAACAGATGTTTTCCATTTGGACACTGTGAGAGAAAGCACAGAGCGGGGTGGGTGGAGAGAGATGGAGGGAGGAGGAAGAAAAGCGAGACAGACTGGCAAGAGAGGAGGTCAAGTAGGCAGAGAGGAAGATGAGAGAAGTGGGAAGATCACAAGGGAGAGAGAGAGAGTAAAGGAGCCCAGGGGATCAGAGAGGGGCCCACACTGAGGGGACAGCAAGGCCCCTTTGCTGGGGTGATGACCTCGACTGTGGGCATTCAGGGAAAATCGAGTAGCAGAGAGTGCTCGTTCTGCCCTGGCCAGGGGAGGCCAGGATGGGTATGGGCACCTCGGACCCGGCAGCCAGAGCAGGAGCTAGAGGATCAGGGCAGCGGGCAGGCATGGTGCCATGTGGCTTCTGCTGCCGCCGAGGCAGCCGTCTGGGGCACCATGTTTGGTAAAACAACTGCACAGGGATGCTGAAGCTAGGAAGAAGGGGTACATTGCAGCCCCCAGACCTATGGGCCTGTCTGCAGGTCAGAGGCCCCACCCTGGAGGCCGGACCTGCCAGGGGCTGTCTGCCAGGCGGCAGGAGCCCTCGAGAGACCTCCCGTCTCTGGCTCTGTTCTGTGTCGTCTGGTTTCCTGCCTAACTGGTAATGAAATCCGTCGGAGCAAAGCAGCCCTACCTATTTTTCAGGGCATGTCCTCTGGTGTATGGCCAGCGCAACAAGGCCCAGGGCCCCAAGGAAGGCGGGAGGTGGGGATCCCTGTAATTGAAGTCTGTTGATGTGAAGGCACTGTGAGGAGTCCCCAGTGCAGGGACCAGGGACAGCCTCCAGAGATGGGGCTCAGGAGACAGGGCAGCAAGTTGTAAACAGCTTAATGAGCCAGGCCAGGACCAGGTGGGCAGGTGGGCCAGGCCTGGGGCGGGTCTGCTGGGCCAGGACCTAGGGGAGTGGAGAGCCTAGCCTCTGAGCTGAGCTCCTGGCGATGGAGGAAGCAGCTACGAGGGCTGGTGCAGGACAGGCCTCCCCACCCACCAACACTCGCACCACCCTCTTCCTTCTGCTTCTCCCCTCTCCTCTGTGACCCTGGGGAGTTCTGCCACGTTGGAACCTGGCCCTCCAGGTCAGCCCAGCCTCCCTTCTCCTCTTTGCCAGTCCAAGTGCCCCTGTGCCTTCAGGCCCCAGCTCAAATGCCACCGCCCCCAGGAACCCTTCTTTGACCACACCAGCACAGCTGACCTGACCCCTTCTGAGTGCCCAGAACACTCAGAGTTGCACTTGTCACTCCACTGCCCTGGGTCACTCCAGTGGTTTGGTGGCTTAGCTGCCCCACTTCCCCCCACCTCTGCTCTTTCTCCTTCTCGTGGGAGGGCCAGGCACACAGCCAGTACTCGATAGTTGCACATTTCACACTCAGTTACGGAGGCAGCCTGCTTAGAGCCTCAGGCCACAGCTCCAGAAGGGAACCCACAGCAGAGCAGAGGAGCGCTGAGGCTGACAGAGCCAGACCCCTGCACTGGGCAGCCCTCCCTGTAAGGCCCTGGGTTTATAGCCCGCCCCTCCTGGCCTCACCTCCTGTGCTTTCTGTCTTGGGACTCACCAGTTCAGGCTGTCTCCAGGGACAAGAGCCTGCAGTTCTCTCCCTCGCCTTATCATGGGAGCCTGGCTTCTCTGTGTTTAATTCTCTGATTCTGCCAAATTCTCATCTCCACTAGAGAAAAAGAGTAGCCTCGCTCAAAAAGCCCTCTGTAGTATTTTAGGATGTGGCAAGCTACTTTGATTGCACAATGAACCTTAGGCAATGCACGCTCAGTACCCCAAGTGCTATGTGCTGCAGTCAAGGCCTTAATTAGGCCTCCTTCCTGCTTCTTGTCGGAATAGGAAGATGGGATGCCTGGGCCTGGGTTTGCCACCTCTTTCTTGGAGCTTCCTCCGGGCCCTCTGTTATCCACCCCACCACAGATCTAATCTCAAAGAGTATAACGTCGGCTCTGAGGCTTTGCTAGGAAAAGCTCTTGGCAGAGTCACAAGCCAGGCTCTGCTTGCCCTTCTGTGCTCCCATCAGTGTGTGGGCAGCAGCTGCGGAGGGGGCAGCCGTGCCGGGGCTGCCGTGAGAGGAAGGCTGAGCGGGCCGCGAGGCCAAGCTGCAACCCCAAGCCGCGTTTCTAAAAGTGCCTGCTGTGGGCGTGTACCTGCAGAGCGTGTGTTTGAAATGTGCATGTATGTGGGCTCGCCTGAGATTGGAGAAACTGCCCGTTTCCACTGATCTGGGGGAAGAAGGCAAACCGGTTGTGGGGCAGATCCTTTCCTGCCTGCTGGCCGAAGGGCGTGTGCGTCCCCTGTTCCCCTCATGCATGCGTGTGGCCGAAAGTGCTGGGCTGTGGAAGGAGACTGGGAGCCCTGCCTTGCCCCTTCCCACTGAGGGTCTGGGTGAGGTCCTCCCTCACTCAGCCTAGTTTGTCAGCGTGGGGCGCAGGAGAGCACCTGCCTCCCTCCCAGACTTCTGGGAGGATTAAATGAGAGGAGATGCTTCGCAGAGTTGGGCCGGGGCCCACAGTCAGCACTCAATAGTGCGGGCGGTTTTATAGCTGTTACCCACACTCCTGCATGTGAGCCCCACTCTGCCCCTTCACATGTGCTCCCTGGGCCTCTCTTCTCATCCTCCCACTCCATCCTTGGCAGGACCACCTGGCTGTCCCCCAGCCCTGCGCACACTCCCGCCTCGTCCTGACCATGCGGGTGGTTAGCTCTCAGTCAGCTTCCCTCCCCGGAGCCGGAGAGCCTTGAGGAGGGCCTCCACGTCTGCTCCCACTCCCTACCCCCAGACACATGGGAACAAGTGAAGTGAGGGGGCACTGAGAGAGTCACCTGAGCACTCGTGTCCCACTGCCAAGCTCTGAGGTCAGACAGCCTGATGCAAACCCTGGCTCCACAACTCACTTAGCCTGTGTCCTTAGGCCAGTTCCTTACCCTCTCTGTGTCCTGGTTTCCTCCCTGAAGCGAGATCCTAAAAGTGCTCGTTCTGAGGGTCTTGTGAGCGTTGGCTGAGACTGTCTGTGTGGAGCCCCTAGCAGGGTGCCTGGCACAGAGTGAGCACTGAGAAACCGTTACCTGGTGTTATCACCGCACCCCAGAGCGAGCCTGTCCTGTGCTGTGATTCAGTGGGATGGTTTCCATCACCTAAGACTGGTTCCTGAACTCTGGGGGCTGATGGTTGGATGCGGGGAGCGGGCCGCCGCCTCTGACTTTTCCCCACTCACCTCCCACTGCCCTTCTGGTTTCGCAGCTGAGCTGTTCATGGAGCAGCAGCACCTCAAGGAAGCAGGGTTCTGCATCCAGGAGGCAGCGGGCCTCTTCCCCACCTCACACTCGGTTCTCTACATGCGCGGCCGGCTGGCCGAGGTGAAGGGCAGCTTGGAAGAAGCCAAGCAGCTGTACAAGGAGGCGCTCACGGTGAACCCTGATGGCGTGCGCATCATGCACAGCTTGGTGAGTCAGCCCTGCACCCCCCACAAAACACCTCAGGGCGTTTGCTCGCCCATCGCCCCCCTCCACTGCCTGCAGGTGTCTTGCTGCCACTGTTCCCTGGTATTTGGAGGGAGATGGCTTCCTCCCTGCTCTAATGGGAGAGACAGCTCTCTTTCTTGTAGAGGCAGGCCACGCCCCTTCAATCAGAGCCTTCCTGCGTTGATGGAAAAATCTAGCCGGGTTGGTTAATATCTTCCGTGACTTCCTTCCTGCTGTTCGGTTCTGTAAGGCAGTCTAGCCCCAAAGGGCTTTCATTGTTACTCAACAAGTCCTCACCCTGGATACCGAGGCAGATACCAAAATGCTCTTCTTTCTGGGGGTCACCACACCCTCGCTGATCACTGTGCTGCCTCCCCCATTTCAGAGGAGCTCCATGCCTTCTTGGTGGGATTCAGGGGCTGTCCTGGGATGGGCTATCATGTTAGGCCCCACTCGAGCACACATTGAGAATGGCCCCAGGGTGGTGAGAGGAGCCTCCAATCCTAGGACGTGGAGATCAGGACTCGCGGGCCCAGGGCTCAGTGACCTTCGTGTTGGAAGGTTCAGAGGCTGGGAGCAGGATGCTGGTGCCCTCATCCTGGCCTTGCCATTCTCTTCCTGAGTGGTCACAGGCAAGTCAGCCACCTTCTTGGAACCCCAGTCTTGCTTCTCTGTGCAGTGGGGATTCTCTGGTCCAGGAAACATTTATTGAGGACCATCTGTGATGGGTGGTATAGTCGACTCTAGGGATAACTGTTTCTTCCCTGCCTTCTTTAGCTGCTTTCAGAGAGCAGGTGTCAGGATAAATGGAATGGTCTGAGCGTGTAGAGGCCTGCATATGCACAGTGGGTTTTGAAGTATAATTTAGGAGGCCACAGTTAGTGACACAGTCTTCCCCTGCTGGGGTCCGGGTTCCACCTCAGACATCCCCCTTTGAGAGCTCTCTGAGGGCAACGGCCATGAGGGATCACTGACGTCTGCCACATGGAGAACACAGAAGGATCAGGAGAATGGCTCCAGTATAACTCTTAGAAAAACAGTATAACTCTTAGAATAGTCTAAGCACAAACTCAGGAATCAGCTGGTGGTGTTGCCAAGAAAATGGAAACATCATGGGGGAGGAACTGGACCAGGTCATCTGTATAAGGACCTTTCCAACTCCAAGAGGCCTTGAAAACAGATTAGAACAGAGACTCCCAGCTCAGCTATCATTCCCACTGCCCTAAGTTCTTACAGGATTTCTAGCTCAGGCCCATGTGAATGTTCAGCGTCGGTTGAAGGAAGCTGGCACAGCCGCATCATACATGTTCCCCTTACACAGTTCCCCATTGCCTTCTGTCTGCCCAGCGAATGTTTGCTTTTTGCAAGGCACATCCTCCTTCCTCCTGCAATTCAGACATTAGCTCCTCTGATAAATGCCTCCCCGGAGGTTACATCCAGAAACTCGATTAAGGAGGTGGGAGGGAGGATGTGGGCTCTGTCATTAGGCCTGCAGCCAGCAGAGATGTCTGCCTTCCACTGCGCTCACGGATATGAGCCTGCTGTCTCAGTCCCTAAAACCCGATGAAATCCAATAACGAGTACAATTTTGAAGTAACAGTGTACCATTTTTCATTTATATTTATTATTGTTTGTAGCTATTTTCCTGAAATTGAGGCAGTTTCCAAGGGTGGGTTTCCATGGTAACTGAATAGCTGTCCAGAGTGACTCCCTACAGATGTTTCTGAAATGGTCCCTTTTCTCTTCCTGGGGTGCCTTGCTGATTTGATGAAATTGGAGCAGGTCGGAGCCAGGCCTTCCCACTGTTCGAGTTACAGGCAAGCAGAGGGACGGTCGGCTCCAGCGTGGGCAGCCCATCCCCTTTCCACACACTCTGCTCCTGCCAGCATCTCACACATAGGCATAAACAATAGCAAATTTCAAGCCTGGGGAGAATTTACTAAGCACTTTTCCCAAAAACACACGAACACTTTGGCGTGTTGATCTTCAGCGTTCCCTGATCTAAGTGGCTTGCTTGTCCTGGCCTCAGACTCAGGACATCTGGGATCTAATCCTGGCTCTGGCGCTAATTCACTCGGGTGACTTAGGAAAAGACACGCTTAACTTCCACACTCCTGATGTCTCCTTTTGTAAATGAATAGTAGTCTTCATCATTCCTGGACCGGTGTTCTCATCAAATGAGATGATGCATGTGAAAGTGCTTCTGCAAGTCTGCAATGCAATATCAGAGAAGGCAAAGCACAGCATATATGCCACCACTCTCCAGTCCCTCACCCATGATAGACATTGCTAATCAGTCACAGCACTTTTTCCCACTCAGCACAGATGTGACCTTGGGATCTTTTTCACCATAGTACAACATGATGGGACCCACTACCTGTCAGTGTAGGTCAGCTTGACATTTATGTAAGGGATTCATTGTGAAAATAGTCGGTCGAGAATGAGAGAGATACATTAGACACATTAGTTGTCTCAGCCCTTGTGAACTCTGGAGGTTGGTGCATCCTTAGAGAATTATCCAGAGAAATGAACATGGAGGGGAACTGGTATCCCCCCATAGAGTCATTGCCAAGGCAGGTTCCCAGGAAGGACGTCCTGGCCTTACCACACCACTGTGTCTCTATGAGGACATCGCCTCTGATAGATACAGGGGGAAGGAGAGGCACGCCTCTCCTGAGAGCACTGGGCTGGAAGAGCACTGGGTCCCTCTGAGCACTCTGCGGTCGTGGTTGAGTCCCACTCTCTGAGGTCTAGAAGGAGGAGGTGGAGATACACTCAGTGAGCTGTGTGGGTGCCAGGTTCAGCCCTACAGTCCTTAGGGTGGGATCGTCAAACACCAGGAGGCTGACGTGGGGGCCTCTTTCTGGGCTGTGTACATGGGACAGGAGATTTGGGGACAGGCTGGAGAGAGCCTCTGGGAGTAGAAGGCTGTTGCTTTCAGGAGCCAGAGTTCAGGCATTTCCAGGAATATGAACTTTGGCCCAGAAGCAGGTTCTCTACTCTCCCCATCCTGCTGCCCTCCCTGCCCTGGATGTGACAGGAGACGTTTCCATGGTTCTGGCTCCACCCTGGGCTCAGCTTAGGGTTTTCCACCCAGGTCAGGCAGGAAAGAGACGCCCCTTTGGCGGTGCTCTGCCAGGGAAGAGTCTCGACCGTGCCCACAGCAGTGTGCCAGAGGAGTCTGTGCCGTCAGGCTCTGGTCCTGCAGGCTGCCACCTCCACCAGTCTCAAAGATGGCCAGGTCACTTCAGGAGACTGCCAGGTTTGGGAAGGAAAAGGCCTGCTCTCTGCAGATGGAAATTCCCAATGAAATCTCAGGAGCAGGTCCTGACAGTCTCTGCCAACTTGGTCTCAGCCTCCCCTCCAGGTAGCTGGAGACCCCGCTCACTCAGCCTGGGTGTGCAGAGTTTAATTTACTGGCAGAAGAATCTAGTTAAGAAGGGGAAGCCTGAACTTTACCTCCTGCCCCTGAGGAAACATGAGAAAGGAAGCAGGCTTCCCAAGATCAGCAGAGGAGTTGGCCCCCCGGTGACACTGCTTTTCAGAGAGGGCTTGGCCGAGAAGGGAGCTCAGGCAGCCTGCACCCATCTCTCTGAACCTGTCTCTGCCCTGCCACCTCCCAGGAGCCCCTCTGCCCTTTGAGGGAGCAGGGATGCCTGGGGAAGGCAAGGAGCCCTGGGGGGACATCAAGGAGCCCTTGATGGAGTGTCAAGTCACTGAGACCCCTCCCAAGAAGGGGGTTCCTTTGAGGTCACCTGAGCTTAGTGGTGGGAGTGTCACTAGTCCTGGCCACAGACTGACTCACTCTCCCTGCCCTCCGCTTGGCTGAGCTGGGAGTATGGATGCTTTAGTGCAGCCTTTCTCACTGCAGAAGACAGTTTGAAAGCCTCAGCCCTGGGTGGGCAGGTGTGCCTGCATCCCTGCCACCTGTGTTTGTGGGTGGCACCCCGCCCTCCTCTCCCAGGGGCACACTCTCGGGGTAGGGCTTCCTGGCCCTTCTCTGGCCAACTTCCCTGCTCCTCACTGGTCCCTGCCCCTGGTCATGCTTTCTTCTTGCGACAGAGCTCCAGGCTCCTGCTGGCCCATCCCCCAGAACCCTTTCCTCCTCGGGCTCCCCAGCAGCAGGGGAGACAGTCCTGCATGAGCTTTGGCTCCTGTGACGTAATTCCCCGGGATGGAATTTCTGAAGCAGTTGTGACCACGTGACCTGGCCCCCTTCTCTCTCCATGTGCCCTTGGAAAGACAGGAAGATACCATTTCTATCACCATTGCCCTCTGATGAGAGCGTGACGATGAATATTCCCTGCCTTAGTTTCCTCTCGCTTCAGCGTGGAGCCGGCTGTCTCGTTCTTTAAGTGGGTTTGGGGGATCAAGGGCACAACCAGGGTGTGCAGCTACCCCCAGATGGCCCCAGAGCCTCTCGCCCCCCTCCCCAGGCTGGAGCCTGCTGCAGCTCATCTGAAGTCCCCAGAAGCTCCCCACCACCATCCCCGCCCCTCCCGGCCCTGAGGTGCTGGGTGGGGCCTTTTGCAGGTGCTCCAGGAACCCAACAGAAGGCTCTGCTCTCTGAGGCCAAAGAGGTGAACTCTGGCTGCACAGAGCTTCCCCCCTTCCCCTCCCCTGGCTGGCCGCATCCTCAGTCCTGGAGGGCAGGACGGGACAGGGGACACACCTAAGATAGACAACCAGCCCTACCAGCCCTCAAGTTTATGGGGGCACTAGGAGATTACTTACCCTCACTAGCTCAGTTTTCTATCAAATGGGGATAATAATTCAGGCCCTTGTGACCTCAAGGGGTAGTTTTAGGGCTCAGATGAGCTGAGAGCTGTGAAAAGATAAGTCAACCTCGGGCATTTTTGTCACCATTCATGTGGAAGACTTGGTGGCAAGTGGCCTGAGCCCCACCTTTGACTAGGCTGCTTGACCTTGCTGCTGTGGGGCGAGCGTCCTTGGCCCAAATGTCTTTGTGCTGCCGGGTGGCC